TAGACATCACTTACTCATTTGGTGACCTTCAGAACTAAAGAAGTTGCTACATCTCCCAAGTTTTGTCTTTTCCATTGAATATTCCACTATTAGCTCAACAGAGTCATTCTTGAACTTGTCTCTATTACTGAGCAGACTCATTCATAAATTTAGCCCCCTTGGCCTACCTGGGTTTATTGTGGGCTACCAGAAATCCTCCTCAGATGTGCATGACTGCTCTTGGAAGCTCTGAGCTTTACAGCCCTGTTTACTGTCATCTGATTCCAAGCAGAGCAATATCTCTTATCCATTGGCAGAGGAGAGTTAAGGCTGTGATTGGGAGTTTGAGCATGAAAGTAATGTGATGGGACTGAAGAGGGTGAAGGCAAGGCCTGCTGGAGGCAATGCGGTAGGTATTTCACCATAGCTCTAGGCAAAGTAAATCTCGAGTACAAAACAATATCTATTTTGGTGAGCCATGGTGGAGTACCTACTGGTTATTTTTGATAAAGTAGGTTGCAAGGAGGCTTTGGGTATTTTGGGGGGTTTTGTAAATTTCATTTTCCTGCCACGCTTTCTGGCATTTATTCTGTGTTTTATACCACCCATTTCCCTGTAGTTGGGCTTGTTAACCATAGTCTGAAGTAACTTTCTCCTTGGCTTTGTGAGAATTTTTTTTCAATTTCCCAAGTTTAATCTATCCAAGAAAAATAAGAATAGGTATTAAGCAGCTATATGTTTCTTATTTTAAAAAGACAATACAGCTTAAGTTATAAAAGCTTAAAAGAGCCTTAAAAGTCATTCTGTGCAGCAGTTTTCAAAGCTTCTTCCTTAGAACAATATTCTCACAAAATGTTGCATGAAAAATGGGTCTCACGGTCAAATTAGTTTGGGAAATACTGTGTGCTCCTTCCTGGAAATTTACTGTGCACAGTAGCCACTTAAAGGCTCTGAGAAGTCATATAGTAAAGAAGCCTGTTTATTTTTTTTTATCCAGAATTTCTTTTAATCACTTGATCTCAAAACTTTTTTTTTTTAAGCATAAGCTAATAGCATCTTAGGGAAATGGTGGTTTATAAAACCTTTTGCTAAATACTATTTATGGCTTAATTGGATTCTTTTATTTCACAGTTGAGGAGACTGAGGCCCAGAAAATTGTCCTACTCATCACATCTAAAATCATTACCTTCATTACACAGAGTAGAAGCTGAACAATACTTATAGCCACAGCATTTAATAATGGTAATACAGTTGCACTGGTGATAAATGAAAACACTTTATTATTGCTAGAAAAAGCATTACATGCTAGCAAGAAGTTGTGTAGTTTGCCGCTATTTTAAATTGTTGCAGACTACAGCTCTCTGTTTCATTGGCCTTATAACAATGTCAAATGCTGGTCCCTGGAAATTGGTCAGAGCACTGGGTTTTGCCAAACCAGTTCAAGTCTGTCTAAGGCCATTGGAAAGGGTGTTTTCTGAAGCTTTTTCTTTTCCTTTGACTCTCACAAGATTCGTCAATTCATTCTACTCTAGAAAGTAATAGACCTTCCTTGAAGAAATGCCCATCCTAAGGTGATCACAAGAAACAGGTTTTCCCACACCTGATTATTTTTCTTCCTTCATTTTGCTGTTTTTTTAGCATGCTTCATATTTTATCCCCAGATGGTTTTTTTCCAGAAAATATTATACTATACATAAGAAACACTGTAGGGATTTTTTACTTTTCAGGACTTCATTTTGGCATCATATTTTTGGCCATTACTATACTTAGCTAAGTCATATTTATTTCTCTACCGTCAAAGAAGATATCCTAGAATTAAATTCTTGAATTGTGCTTGACCTTTCTGCCTGGCAGTCATTTAAATTAGATAGTACCTCCTGCTGTCTTAAAATACCTATCATTTGTTAGGAATGTTACCATTGCCAAGAAAAAACCTGACAATGGGAAAGGAATGTGGGATGAAGAAAATGCCCAGTATCTATAATTTTATCATCAAAACTCTGTGTGTAGTTTTTGTTGCTGGAAATAAACATGAATCATGATTGGTGTGGGGGGCTCACAATAGTATCAGAAGTTTTTATGGGCACTCTGCTGGTTGCTTGATACAAGCCAGTATCTTGTGCTATGTTTTCTCAACTGCCTTTGTAAACACCGTAGCCTTAATAGATCATTTTGAAAGAAGCTACCATCCTGCTGAATGTGTTGGTAGCCTCCTTTCAGGTTTCTGACATATCCTTAATCTGATGCTGAGCCTTGTCATCTGGATCAATAGTAAACCAGATAAGATGTCTTCTACTTGTAAGGCTATGGCTATAAAAGGTATTTGAAAAATAAATTCACTTTTTATGCCCATGCCACAAACCTGTGGAGTACTAATTTGTCATTTGTCTCTCCATCTGTCTGTAAACAGTCAGTTAAATTGGTTATTGATAAAGGTGAATTATACTTGAAACAAGAGTAATGTAGAAATAAACTTCATAATAAATGTCTTAGATTCCTACAAAAAGGTGACATCTCTTTTAAAAAAAAGGATGGCATAACAACTTTAATCTTTATTTTAGAATAAGTCATTTAATGTTGTTTTCTATTCTAAATCATCATTAATAACAATATAACTATAAATTATACTTCACAAACTATTTTACATATATTATTTAATCTTCATAATCTGTATAACATAACTATCTCTCTTGTAACTTGTAATGTATTTGTTATTCATTCAAAAAGTATTTATTTAATGCCTGCTATATATAAGGCACAGTGCTAGGCACTATATATAGATTCTATATACAAAAAAATCTTGGTGATAATAGAAGAGGTTAGAATTGTAGCATTCTAGTGTTAGAAAGAACTCTAGAATATCATCTTCAAATTTATCATTTTACAGAAACTAAATTCCAGCCAGTTTGCAACTCATGGTCAACCAGCTACGTAGTGGCATTATTTTTTATCTTTAAAATATATCTTTAAAATTTTTTTTGGAATTTGTGTTTCCCCATGTGTGCTATAACAATAATTCTGGCCTTCATAACAATGATATTTTGAATATTAACTAAGGTGTTATTATGTAGCATTTCACAGTCTGAAGATAAGAAACATTCCTTGAAGATTAGAGGCAGGAAGAGAGTATATCAAAATGTAAACCATGGTTTGTGAGATGCAGGCTGGTCACTGTTTTTCTTCTTTATATTTCTCTTTATTTTTTAAGTGTCTTTAATAAATATGTTTCATAAAAATTAAGGTTTTTTTCCTGTTTTCTTTTAACTTTATGTTTTAGCATGATTTCAGATTTACAGAAAAGTTGTAAGAACATACAAAGAATTCTCATGTATCCTTTACCCAAATTCCCCATGTGTGTACATTTCACCACACATGCTTTACCCTTGTCTCTCAGAATATGTGAGTGTGCAGACACTGTCTTTTAAACCAGTGGTCCCCGACCTGTTTGGCACCAGGGACTGGTTTCATGGAAGACAATTTTTCCGTGGATGGGGTGGGAGGTGCTGGGAATGATTCGAGCACATTACATTCAAGTTCACCTTCTGCTGTGCGACCCAGTTCCTAAGTTGGGGAACCCTATTTTAAACCACATGGAGTAAGTCACAGATATAATACTCTTTTGCCCCCAGATCTTTAGTGCATATTTCCTAAAAACCTGGGCATTCTCTCATATAACTGCAGTTCAATTATCAAAATCAGGCAATTAACATAAACACTATAATCCATGAACCTAATTTAGATTTTGGCAATTTTCTCAGTGATAATGTCGTCTATGTAAAAGAAAATCCAGGGTCAGGCATTGCATTCAATTGTTACATCTTTTAGTCTTCATTAATCTTCATCGGGTTCCTCAGTTTTGTGTGCGCATGCGTGTGTGTGCATATGCTGCATGCACAGTTTGTGACACTGACATTCTCTAAGAGTACAGACAATTACATTGTCTTTCATTCTGGATTTATCTGATGTTTCTGGTATTTAATTCAGGTTATGCACTTTCGGTAAGAATACCACAGGAACCATGCTGTGTTCTTCTCAGTGCATTGGTCAGAAAGCTCTTGGTGATGTTAACTTTGGTCTCTTGGTACTGCACCGTAACATTACTGTTTTTCCTTTGTGAATAGCTAATTTGAAACCATGGAAATATCCTGATACTTCTCAAGCTTTTATCCACTGGTGTTAGCATCCTTTGACCACTCCCACCTAAATCAGTTATTATTATGATGGTTGCCAAATGGTAAAAGTTGTTTTTAAAATTACTGCTTGTTCCACATCTAAAACTTGATGCCTAGTTTGATGGAAACAATAAAAATAACCTCTCACATTAAACAAAAAAGCCAAGAAGGAATGGAAGACATTGCACCAAGATGCTAACAGAGCTTACGTTTTGCTTAGGGTAGTGGAACTGCATATGACCTTTCTTCTTTATTTCCCCAATTTTCAATAATTTTCCAAATTTTTGAATACATATCTAATACGTAATTCATAACTTTTGAATAGCTTTCTTTTAAGAAAACTTACAAAGTCAGGCTATTTTTTAAATATTTTATGTATTTATTTTTAGAGAGAGGGAGAAAGAGAGAGAGAGAGAAACATCAATATGTGGTTGCCTCACACACGCCCCCTACTGGGGACCTGGCCCACAACCCAGGCATGTGCCCTGACTGGAAATCGAACTGTCAACCACTTGGTTTGCAGGCCGGCGCTCAATCCACTGAGCCACACCAGTCAGGTTGAATGGCTTTCCAAAATGCATGTTTGTTTATTTCCAGTTGGCACACCAAAAGCTTGAGGTAGATAGTAAAATGTTGATTTAACAATTGTGATGTGCTTGAATTCCGAACACCTGTTAGAGCAGAATTAAGACACAGCTGTGGCAAACAGGATGGTACCTACCCTGGAATAAGTAACAAAATGACACAACAAAAATAGTATTTGATTTACACATCTTTCTTCCCCACTCCAACCACTAAACCTTGGCATTATTTTTTACTAACTCAGTTTCCTTTCTCTTCGCTTCAAAGGGAAAGGGACTAGAATGGTGGCAAGAAGATGAGAAGCGGTACAAAGTTGAGGGAGTGATTTGTAGATGGAGGTAGGTTATGATATGATTTTTAAAAGATGGTTCTATGTGAGACTAGAAGACTCAATTTGACTCAAGTATTACCACTTCGAGGACCTTGGCTACCAATTTGAAAATACATAATAATTATTAAGTCAGATTACTAGTTAGTGCTCAGCATTTAATGAAAACCTTTAATGCATAGCCTAAATGTGGTTCATTAGAAATTTCTGAATTTAATCAAATTTATTTATACATTTATGTGTACATTTATCTTTTCCATTATCTAAGAGATCCCATCCACAGTGTGGAACTGAAGCAGAAAAGGCAACGGGTGGATTCAGTCAGTTGTTTGAAATAGTTCCCCCAAAGGCACATATCTCAGCAGAGCAGATGAATTGATTTTTTTAAACTACATGTTAGTATCAATAAAACTAAGGTACATTGTTGAAAAACTAGAGGGGGCCAGCCACAAAATTTGGGGTGCTACAAAGGAACCAGGGAATAAACAAGATTTATTGCATTTAGCTTCTGAATTTAACATTAAAACGTGGTTTTTAAAATAACTACTTGCAGGGTAATTCAGAAGGCCGGTAAGGGTCAGTGAGAACAGGCCAGGCAGATTATAATGGACATCATACAGTGACAACAATGAAGAGCGAATTCTTTATTTTTCTGTATCTAAAACAAACATGGTCAAATGAAAAATTGTTTTGTTTACAAAGACTACTTTAATGATGAGAGAAGAGCCATAATAGTATCACAAAAAGAAGCCAGTATTTGTTGAGCCCTTTCTGTGAACCAGTCACTGTGGCTGTTTACCGATGGAAAATCTGAGGCTTCGGGCAGTGACATGCTCCCAGTTAATATAGCCAGTGAAGCACCCAGATCTGAATGATTCTAAAATATATTCTCATTTAATTATACCGTACTGCCTCCTCGTCAGTTAACATTTCTGGTTCCACTAAAGCTTGAACTTCATCAGGCTAGGAAAATGAATTTTCCTATCAGAAAAAAAGGAAATAGATTCAAAAACTGTTACCTTGTGGTTATAAAGTAAAAAATAAACAAATGAGATTACATCAAAATAAAAAGCTTCTGTATAGCAAAAGAAACCATCAACAAAATGAAAAGGGAATCCACTGTATGGAGAACATATTTGCCAATGATACATCTTATAAGGGGTTAATCTCCAAAATATATAAAGAACTTATATATCTTAATACAAGGAAGACAAACAATCCAAATAAAAAGTGGGCAAAGGACCTGAATAGACACTTCTCCAAAGAGGACATACAGATGGCCAAAAAATATATGAAAAAATGCTCAATGTCACTAATCATCAGGGAGATGCAAATTAAAACCACAATGAGATATTACCTCACACCTATCAGACTGGCTCCAACCAATAAATCAACAAACAAGTGCTGGCCAGGATGTGAAGAAAAGGGAACCCTTGTGCACTGTGAGTAGGAATGCAGACTGGTGCAGCCACTGTGGAAAACAGTATGGAGTTTCCTCAAAAAATTAAAAATGGAACTGCCTTTTGACCCAGTGATCCCACTTCTGGGAATATATTCTAAGAATCCCGAAACACCAATTCAAAAGAATATATGCACCGCTATGTTAATAGCAGCATTACTCACAGTAACCAAGATCTGGAAACAACCCAAGTGACCATCAGTGAGTGAGTGGATTTAAAAAGCTGTGGTACATTTACACAGTAGAATACTAAATAACAGTAAAAAGGGAAATCTTAACCTTTGGTGACAGCATGGATGGACCTGGAGATTATTATGCTAAGTGAAATAAGCTAAGAGAAAGACAAATCCTGTATAATCTCAATTATATGTAGAATCTAATGAACAAAAGAAACTGACAAATACAAACAGAGGCATAGATGCATGGAACAGACTGACAGCTGTCAGAGGGGAGGGAGGAGGGGGTATTGGGTGAACGAAGGTGAAAGGATTAGCCAAAGAACATACCTGATAACCCATGGACACACACAGCAGTACGGTGATGGCAGAGGGAAGGGGGAACCAGGGATGGGAGGAAGAGGAGCAAAGTGGGGAAAATGGAGACATCTGCAATAAAAGTATCAACAATAAACATAATTTTTAAAAAATGAAATAAAATCTCTCAAATTCCATAAACCCCAAATGAGCAGCACCCGGCCTTGGCATGCCCATGCCCCTTGCTAAGCAGCCCCAAGCCTAGCACTGGTGGCAGCTGACCTCTGTTCACAGCTTGGCCTTCCCCGGGCACCTCCAAGCCCAGCACACACACCAAAAAAAAGTAAAAATTATTAGAAATTGTTGTTCTTAAGGCAGCTATATTAAAAATACATTTAGCTTTGAAGTAGCTATAAAGAGTGGGTCTTCTGCTTCTTTGAATCATGGAGTCAAAGAACATGAAGCTGGATGAGTCATTAGATCATAATCCAGTCTTCTCGTTTTTCATGTGGTGGAGACAGGCTAGCGGAAATTCAGTGGGTGAGGGTCATCTGGCTGAGACCTCTCTGGTGTCACTGCCTCATTTAAATGTTTCAGTACTGCTTCAGAAACCTCAAGGAAGAAGTCTACACTCCTTTCATCATCACCTACTCCTTGCTTCCCTTTTGGCTTCTGCTCTGTCCTCCAGCATGCTGATTATTTAAAGCTTTTATTCTAGTCACCTCTGTCTCCCCATCGCTCCCCACCCACATTGCCCCTGCACATTCATTCAGCTTCCTTCCCCCTGAAGCTGGCTTAATCGTGTATACACTTGAATGAGAGCAGCTCAGGTGCTGTTTTCTCCAAGAAGCCTTTATCGGTCCCTTCAAGGTTGGGTTATGTATTGCATCTTCAGAGTTTTTATCACCATTTGTCCTTACATAGGATTTATCTCATTCATTGTGTTACGATAGGGAATGATATTTGCAAATGGCTTTACTCTCTGTTATGGCCAAAGTGAGGCATAGATAGTGTGGGAACTATTGCACTGTGTAATAAGCAGATACAAGAGACTCGACATATCCAACACATGTTGGCTTTAGAATTTCTATATAAGAGGAGCTTCCATGGGGACAAATAATTGGAAGGGGTAGAAATAAGACCCAAAGCTATCTTTGTTTAGCACTTTACATAAAATTCAGAAAATATTCATTGTCCCTATCAAAGAAATGGGGAGGCAGAACAAGACAGAGACGCACAAGGAGACTAAAGTACTCGTGATCCCAAATCAAGGTCCAGCACAACTGCCGTCTTCTCCACGGATTCTTTCCTGACCTGACTTTTCCCCCCTCACCACTGAAGGCTGAAAGTGCGTCCTCTATCCTGCCTGCTCTATGGTTTGTTTTTGTATTTGTTAATGCACTTTCCTTACCGCCCCATTGCTTATACTATATATTATATTGTATATGAGTGTACATCTGTATTTTAATTATTTTTGTACAGCTTCCAAAACTCTTAGCATATTGTCTGAGTTAGAGTAATTACATAGTAAATAACGAGTGAATCTTGAATGAAAATTGAATTAGGTCCATATTTCTTCATTGTGATACCATTTTGAATCATCTGCAGAGCATGAAGGAAATATTAACTCCAAAGTCTCAGAAATTCTGATTTCATTGACTTGGGATGGAACATGCATTCTTTTCTTTTCTTTTTTTGTGGTTTGTTGCTGGTGGTGATGGTGGTGGTGTTAATTGTTTTTTTAAGCTCTTCAGAGTTGAGAACTCTGACATTAGGTTCTTTGTATAAACAATGATTCTCAAAGTGTGGACTCCTGAACCTAGCAGCACCAGCATTTCCCAGAAGCTTAGTTGACATGTAGATCGCTGGACCCCACACCAGAGCTAATGAATGAAAAGCTCCGGGAAAGACTCAGCAGTCTGTGTTTTCAAGCCCTCCAGACAATTCTAATGCATGATAGAATTTGAGAATGACTGACTTAAGGTAAATGTGTTCCTATCAATGAAATATCAACTATGAGAAACAAAATACATTTTATATTTATCCCCAAAGGTTGTGACAATTTAAAGGACCGTTCTAAATAAAAGAGAGCACCTCACAAGCACAAGCATTACAACATTTTATAACTTTTTAAAACATTTACTTTCACATTCTCCATTTAGGAACTAATTTTCATAATACTCTAAATAAAACAGGCTCTATTAGGCAGGAAATGCACATGAAACCCTGGCTGGTGTGGCTCAGTGGATTGAGCACTGACCTGCAAACCAAAGGGTTGAGGGTTCGATTCCCAGTCAGGGTACATGCTCGGGGTGCATGAGAGGCAACCACACATTGATGTTTCTCTCCCTCTCTTTCTCCCTCCTTTCCCCTCTCTCTAAAAATAAGTAAATTATTTAAAAGAAAAAACAGAAAGAAGCCCATGAAAAGTCTGGCATTGGGTAAGGAAGCTTCAGAGTCAAGGATACCTTTCCATAGTTTGTTAGACAAAAGCCTGTCAGCCTTTTTTTTTTGTGGACAGTAACATTTTCTCTTTCTGTTGTGCTGTTTGACTCAGCGCCACTTGATAGCTCTGTCTATCCCTGTGAAAACCAAGTTAGTGCATAGAGCCAAGGTTTGGAGGAGGCATTGGGGAGAAATATTAGAAGAGTTCAGCCACAGAGCAACTAAAGATGTTGCCTTTCCTTCAGTCAAATCCTCTTTGAGAGCCAGGATCGGTTTTAAGCCAGAGAGATGTTCTTGGCTGATGCATTGTCTAGCTGCTCTGCCAGATGGATGAACATCTTAAACTTGAAAAATAACAAATAAAGCTCCTTTTCTGTCTTTGAAATGCCATTCTTTCCCTATAATTCCCTAGCCTTTCCCTAGGGAATTATAAAATGGCTTTTAAAAAGTTTTTAAAGATTTGCTTAAGATGGCAGGTTAGTAATGTGATTACCGTCATAGGTTGAATGAGGCATTTTATCTATAAACACAGCATTTAGGCTTGACAATCGGAAATTTAAGGAAAGAGGGAGGCTGTCTATGACTGGGGAAGGCAGTGCAGATTCAGTTTCATTTCTACAGCCCAGTGAAGTC